ACCCTTCTGTTGAAAATAATTTTTTTGGTGAAAAAAAACTTGAAATCAAAAAAAAATTTTTTTTGGGAGGTAACCAAACGCGCTCCCCCCCCCCCCCCCCCCCCCCCGCAGAAGGCTTTAAGCGGGCATTACAACCGGTTTAATTCCCTTTACAAAGGAACTTGAGGGCCTTCTAGAGGCATTATCCTTACGCCGCCGAAGTTTTTTTCAATCAAATTAAGATTACTCTTGTAATTGAATTTTACATGATGTTGCTTTATTAGATAGACTATGAGAAAACCTTGCGTTCCATCAGAATTCTAAGAATCCACTGATAACTTTTATAATAACAGTGCTTGATTTAAGTCTTATATTTTTTTAAATATTTTTAGTCAAGACATAATGTGAAATTCTAGTTTCAATGAAATGTTTCATGTCTTATCTCTTGTCAGACATTTGTCGATGTAATATTATTGAAATCTATTCATAGAACATCATCTTATGATATAAAAAAAACTATATTTATATAATCTATAATTAAAAAAACGGCTGATATTCTGTAATTCTAATATCTAAGAAAGAAAAATGAATTCGATGCTTATGTAGTTTTTTTCTCCGAATATCGTTTGAATAAAATCACATAATAAATGCTCTTTTCAACAGACGAAACCATCGATGTCAATAGTATTTTTCTTAAAATGAAAGTGCTTTACTACAGTAAAATCGCCTCTAGTGAGCGTCTCCTTATTCTGAACTATGAACACTTTTTACAATCCCTCTTGTTATTATAATAACACGACTGGTCTACATGTAAAGAAAAGAATGATATCACGACATCAGCTAAGTTCGTTCGAAAAAATTTAAATAATTTATAAGTTAGAATCAAATTTAATTAATATCGATAATACTTCAAAAGCAGAAAGACATATAACATTAGAGGATTTTAAAAAACAACATTAAATTTATGCTTTAGTTCAAAAAAATCTTTCGAATCAAATCATTTAGATAAAACAGATGAACAAGAACATAGATAACTAGATATTTAACCTTGAGTAGTCTAAAATCACGTATTCTGGAACCGTTTCTTCATTGCATAGCTAACCATGTATCAAATCTCTTAGCGGAACACTTTCAAATAGTGACAGCGCTTTAATAATTCCGATGGTGTTTTACTGTAATTAAGACCTTATTGTTCATCACTTCTCTTATTATTAACAATCATACATTAATAAGCATTTTAAACAATTTATTTTATCATGTTAGAAAACTGTACACATAAACCGAAAAGCTAGAGCTGTTTCGAGATCGCCACGATTAGGAAAATGATCGATGACTTAAGAGGCCGACTGGGAGATATTTTCTAAAATTGACCAGATTTCGGGTAGGGGGGGGGGGGAGGAGCTGAACATTTTTTGAGAATTGGTGAGCAAAAAAAACACAATAAAAGCTTGCAATGCCACTAGAAAAAATCGAAAATTGTTTATAATAGCGTGCAGTGGTATGGCCAAAAATTTTTTGAGTTATGGGCTGTTTCCTAGCTAAATTATTTTGAAGAATAGGCAACATTGGGTAATCAAAAATCAACTGGGCTACAGAATTTTAAAAATTCATCGCTATTACAAAAACCGATGTTTATTGAAAATAAGTTCATTACTCTTCTATAGGCAGTTGCTTTTGAATTTGTGAACAACTGCCCAATGGTTGTACCCGTAGCTGTGTCAATGATTGCATGTTAATCCCATGACTACTCGCACTCAGAATACTCCTAAAAATAACCATATATTGTTATTCTTGAAATCAATAACAGATATATGAAGACATTATAGTTTAATTTAAATTGATCTTCATTTCTGCAATTTTCGACTATTTAATATTGATTTCGTATAAGGTATGGTGATCATTAATGGTAAGAGATACCATTGTTAGCTTGTTATTCTTTTCAACAAAACAAAAACAATATGAAGAGATGAGTTGAATTTTATTATAATATAAAATGATTAGAAAAAATTTGAAAATCAACATGAAATTAAATTAAGCTTTGATTTTTTTCCATATTTTTCCTATGTTATTATTGATATTCAAACATTCCTTTTAAATAAGAGATTTTTTTTTCAGGATATTATTCAATATGAGGTATAACACAGTTTATCATTCATCAATTTTTTGATAAAGTTTATTGAGATGGTCTTGATATATACCGATTTGATTATGGTTTGGTTCAATTATATTAGTTGCTATTTCTAATGCTTTCTGTGCATGTTCTATAGCATGTTTATAGTCAGTAAGATGTTCAAACACTATAGATAAATTGCTATGAATTTTAGCTAATAAATCATAATTATGTGAAGAACTATCTTTTTGATATCTGAGCGCTTTTTCTAATTTATCACGTGCTTCATCATATTTATTTTGTTCACAGAAGATTAAGCCAATGTTAAATAAACAAAATGCCATAAGTGATGGATTGGGTTTTGAACTGTGCTTGTAGATATCAAGAGTCAACTGAAAATGTTCAATTGCTTTTTCGAAATGACCTTGTTTTCTTTCAATCGCACCCATGCCTGCATAAATTTTGCAAAAACGAGGATCATTTGCTTGAATATTTTTCGATCGAATTTCATAACTTTTTTCATAATGACTAAGTGCAATATTCAATTCATTGTTTTGATCATTTATATAGCCAAGCTTACGATGAATATAAGCAAACATTTCTATATCATCTTCAGGTGTGCTCTCAAGTAACATTTCATAAAACTCTTTGGCTCTATCTCTTTTGTCAATATTAATCATCATTTGACCCAATCTTAGAAATCCATTCAATTGATTGAATTCTTTCTCAATCCATTTATTGATAGATTTTAGTTTTTCATCATCATCTTTAGCCAAAATTAGATTAACTTGCCATAATCGTTCATTTAATTGTTGAATTTTCTTAATTTGAAAGATAGCATTTAATGAAAATAGAACATATCGGTCAGTATCTTTATAATGATCGAATTCGTCTAATATAATAAATGGATATGATGATATTGATCGATCAATTTTTATTTTAAAAAGAACATCTATTAAATCAGGATTATTTTGAGATTGTTCAAGAAATTTTAATGACAATTCTTTATCCATTGTCGCCATTAAAAATGTATTGAATGAAATTAAACTATTTAAATTTTTTTGTAATTGTAAAAATTGATCATTGGAAATTGTTTGCTCATGATAAACAGTTATTTGTTGTTGATCATTTGATTGTGAATATATTTTTTTAATTTGTTCATGTAAATTTTCAACGAAAAAATTGATTTTAGTAAGAATTTTTATATCATATAATCGCAATGCTCTATTTAACATTGAATATAAAAAACATTCACTAGTATATAATTGAATAGGTGATAATTTTTTATTGTTCTTTTCATAATTCTTAATTATCTTAGTTTGATAAGAATTATTATTATAATGTACACGACAAAATTTTATAAATTCTTTTATAGTTTCTTCATTATATTCATTATTGATTAAAACTTCTTTAAGTATCAATGAACAAATAAATAATTGATCTAACTCAGGTGATTTTGTTGATTGAAGAATATTAATTGATATCAAATCATTATTTGCTTGACGTACATCTCGTCGAAGTGCCTCACAAATAGGTATCATATCAGTAAAAACACCTTTTATTTTTCGAAAATTTGTTGCCCATTTTTCATGATATTCTCTTTGATCACAATAGACATAAATAGAATAAATTTGAGGTGTTTCTTCCATAATATCTGCTAAGTTGATGCCAAAAGTTCCTGAAACAATTATGAATACTTTTTCATTTTTTGTATAATGAATCAAATCAGCATATTCAATTTCATCAGAAACTAATATAATTGTATTTACAAAACGTTGAAGTTGATGAACTGAATCATAAAATTGATCAGATGATTCTTTCACATTCGCATCAAGCCAAATAAGTACAAAATTTTCCACAAAACAAATTGATTGTATATTGGTTTCATTCTGAATTTCATTTTTCCTCGTATTTAATTGTGAATTTTCAATATTCGATGTTGAAGTATTTGATTTTTGGCTTGCCATTATTTATACCAATCTATGAGGTAAAAAAAAAAACAATAGTTCTCTTGGAATAAACTGATTTATTTTGTATTGCCGTAAAACTTCTCATGTCAATCTTTCAACGATAGCAAATAGTAAAGAAGAATCGTTACAAAAACTTCTTGTTAAAAGCAAAGCAGTCACATTTCTTTCTTTCTTCTTTCAACCACTTGACAATTGAAGGTTAATGTTACGTGCAAACATATCACATCAGAATATGTAGTTTCTATAGAGCACATGGATATGGATTAAATTCTGTGAAAAACGCATTTTTTTTTCCATAGTAATTAATTTTCAGTGCTCAACAAAAATAAGTGAAATTCGTAAAGGAAGATTTTCGACATAAAATATATGAGGGAACTTTAATCCTAAAATTTTGTTAGAAAAAATTTTATTTTAAAAGTGAACAAATACCACATCGTTTTATGCAATTTTCCGTGATAATTTCAAATATGTTCATATTTTTCTCTTAAACTTTCTCTCTGTCAAAAATCACAATTTCTGTCAATAAAATCGATTTTGGTATTTTTCTGTTATTGGATAGCCCTGGGTGTCTACTTTCAAAAACAATATTCTTTATTGGAATTTTGATACTTTTTCAAGGTTCTATGCAGGATTTACTGCTGATGCTGGAATCAGGCAAAATGAGTTTTTTGAAAATGTTAGCTATTGTTGCTTTTTTAACATTTTTCAAGAACTCCATAGTGGAAATCTAGCAGAAATGTGCAAAAAAGCAAGCTTTGTAAGCCCTCGAACAGGTGAACTCGTGACCTGTATTTCTTTTCCTAACAGTGCTCGTTTAATTAAGAAATGATTTTGATAGTGTCCTGTTAGAAGAGATATCTTTTGATCTAAGTATGCATTCTCTTCTCTTTCTTCGACTTCATTCTTTCACCTCTATATTTATGTCTTTCTTCTCATCTTTTGTCTATTTAAGTTGCTGGTATTATTGGTATGAGTGTAAATGAATAGAGTTGATTGTAGATGAGTAACACGAATATTCAAACCTTCACTTCATATGTCTTTGCTTTTCTAGATGCGGATTTTTAGACACTGGACCAGTACATGCAAATCTTTGTTTGATAGCCGTGGTTGTAAATGTTAGCTACATTTTGGTACTCACACGAGATCTGTATCATTACGTTTGAAGGACACATCTGTGACACACGAAAACGTACTTTTTGATGCTTGATATAAGGATAACTGTTAAAGAGTGCAATAATTTGAGCTGAAATTTTTACTGTAAGCTTTCTGGGTCATGGTCCATATTTTCAGATAGATCGATTATGTTGGGACGAAAATAGCTTTTTGATAGCGGGAGAAGGTTTTAAAGTACTCTAAGATAAAAGAATGTCGAAAGCCTTTAAAATGCAATATTTTCTAGAAAATCTATGCCTCAGTGGAGAAGCATTCATGCATCTTTATGCTAACGGAGTAGACATGCTAGACAGAGAAAAACATTCTATAAAAGTTTGATTGACTTTGGTAATGTGCCCACTAACTTCACTGAACACGTTTGTTTTTAGAAAAAACCCATTGTTGAAAAAACATCCGTACTTTTTTCAACCAGGAAAGCCGTTAGCAGAAAGTTTTTCATATAGAACGATGTATTAAGAGTCCCATGATTTATTGCGTAGATCTTTCTACGTTGTCTGGAAAAGATTTTATCGTTCAAGATAACAGAAACTCCGTCATTTTTTCGGACTCAAATTTTCCTAAATCCTAAAGAGCTAAACAATTCTTTTCAGTAAAAAATTCATGTTGTTGCCGGTCGTGCACACAAATATAACTAAAACAAACCTTCGAGTAGTTTGTTTTTCTAGTAAAAACTCGAATAATGCTTTGTTTTTAAATGTTATATTTTAAAACTTACATGAATAATGAATCATTGCTATGTGGCATATCTTATTTATTGCAAGAGATAAGTTTATTTTGAAAGATTAAACTTTTATCAATATGAATCAAATTTATACTCAGTTCGGATTGGTTGTAGACATATATAGAGCAAAATAGGAGGTCAGGTTTCGTCGATTAGTCTTGTATTTGTTGATTTTGATGCAGTCAGATCGATTTGTTTTTTTGTGAGACCTTATCTACGTATATTACCTGAATGTACTTTTTTGTCGTCTTCTGTTTTTCACATTTATAAGATATGTAATATCAAGTAAAATAGGTCGCTTTACAGGTGCAATAATAGTTTATTTTTTGATAAAACATGTTTTATTTTTTTCGATGAAGAAAAAACCTGTTATTTTGAAAATATATTACCTTATTATCTCAGTCTAGCTAAAAGAGTTGTTTTCAAACGGAACAGATTGAAAAGAATAGAATGTTTCATGGCGACCTCCATTGAAATTTATTTCAATATTTTAATGGACATATTTCTTGTCCAGTTAGAGCTGTTTTTTTCGTTCTTTAGTAGTGCAGTTATTGAAATATATTCGTCGTAAACCTGTTACTTAATACAAATGTGAGTGCGTGTTACATTAATAGAAGTGTGGTAAGCGAAAATAGAAATACCACGCCTTCTTTTTGCGCAAACTTATTTTTTCTCTCTCGATCATTACTCAACTTAAATCGTTGCTCTTTTCTCTTTCTTTAGACCATCACCAATACCACGCGTTTGAAGTGCGATAGCAAAGTCGAATATATATATATATATATATGCAAATAAAAAGCATTTGGGTCAATATTTCTATCATTATCTAATTACTGAGCAAAGGGTTTATAAAAAAAATATACATAAGTACGTTTATTTCAAGTGTATATGGAATTCACACTCAGTGACAATCAAACCGTTTCTGATAATCAAGAAATATATACCGATGAAATTCATTGTCAAACAGCATATAATCTAAATAGATTTAAACGTATTGAAAGTGAAGGTGCTAATTTAGGTGCAAAAGGTTGTTCCCTTCAACCGGTAAAATATGTAAGCTTAACAGAAAAAATTTTAAAACGTATCGCGGATAATGATCGTTGGTATTCACTTGAATTTTTTCCACCACGTACACCAAGTGGTGCTGCCAATCTTATTGGATGGTAAAAAAATTTTCTTTTTATACTTTATTTTTATGAATAAAATTTTCTTTTTGTTAATTTAGTTTCGATCGTATGGCAGCTGGTCAACCATTATTTTGTGATATAACATGGCATCCAGCAGGTGATCCAGCTAGTAATAAAGAAACAAGTTCAATGATGATTGCAAATACAATGTTAAACTATTGTGGAATCGATACAATGTTACATATAACATGTTACGGTGCTAAAAAAGCAGCTATGCTTGAATATCTTTATAAAGCAAAAGATTGTGGTATTAGAAATGTATTAGCATTACGTGGAGGTAAATGTTATTGACATGTGTTAATTATATTTAATATATGATTTATTTTAGATCCACCAATAGGTGAAGAATGGGATCCAGCAAAAAGTGATTTTCGTTATGCATTGGATTTAGTTAAATTTATTCGACAACATTTTGGAGATTATTTTGTAATTTGTGTTGCTGGTAAATTGAATTTTTGTTTTTTGTTTGTTTATAATTGATTTTATTTTGTTTGTTTGATAAAGGTTATCCACAAGGACATCCGGATTCAACATCTTATGCAGATGATTTAGGTTATTTAAAAGAAAAAGTTGATTACGGAGCAGATTTTATTATAACACAACTTTTCTTTCAACCAGAAACATTTATTAAATTTGAATCTGATTGTCGTGCTATTGGAATTACATGTCCGATTATTCCTGGAATATTACCTATTCAAGTAAGAAATTTGGAGGGTTTTTGTTTTTGTATTGAAAAAAAAAAACTCTGATTTTAGGGTTATTCAAGTCTTCGTAATATTGTTCGGTTGGCTAAACTCGATGTACCTAAAGAAATTCTAGCTTGTATTGAACCCATAAAAGATAATGATGAAGCTATACGTAATTTTGGTGTTCAAACATGTCTTGATTTATGTCGTGTCTTGTTAGATTCTGGTAAAGTAAATGGTCTTCATTTTTATACATTAAATCGAGAATATGCAACAATTGAAATATTAAAAAGAGTTGGCCTTTGGTTAGAAGAACAACCATTACGCGCTTTACCATGGAAAAAAACTTCATTTAGTCATGCACGTTCAAAAGAAAATGTTCGACCAATATTTTGGAGTATAAGACCAAAATCTTATGTTCATCGTACATCAAATTGGAATGAATTTCCTAATGGTCGTTGGGGTTTATCATCAGCACCATCATTTGGTGTCTTAGCTGATTATCATTTATTTTATATGAAACTCGATGCAACACGTGATGAATTACTTGATGAATGGGGACGTGAATTAACATGTGAACAAGATGTTTGGCAAATGTTTGCTTGTTATATTGGAGGTGAAAAAAATCGTTTAAATAAAGTTGTTCGTCATTTTCCATGGACAGATGAAGAATTATCATCAGAAACAACATTAATCCAAAAAGATTTAGTTAACTTTAATAAACGAGGAATTTTAACAATTAATTCTCAACCAGCTGTTAATGGAAAACCAAGTTTAGATCCAATTGTCGGTTGGGGTACACCAAATGGCTATGTCTATCAAAAGGTAACAATAACTGTTTGTAATCTTATGTATTATTAAAGTAAAAACATAAAACTTAACTAGGCTTATTTGGAATTTTTTACAAGTGCAGACAATATTCCAGCATTACAAGCTGTTTTAAAAAACTTTCCCAGTGTTAATTATCATTTCGTGAATAAATCAGTAAGAATATTTTTCTGGATGTTTTTTTGTTTTTTGATTTTTCTAATAATACTAATTTCTACAGGGTGGAGTTAATGAAACAAATGCAGATGATGAACAACCAATTGCTGTAACATGGGGTGTTTTTTCTGGTCGTGAAATTATTCAACCAACAGTTGTTGATCCTGTTAGTTTTATGATTTGGAAGGTAATTCAAAGAATAAATAAATATATATCTATTATTTCGAAATCTTATTATTTATTTTATTTTAATAAATATAGGATGAAGCTTTTAGTTTATGGACGGAACGTTGGAGTAAATTATATGAACCAGAATCACGTTCACATGAAATTATTGATAAAATAGCAAATACTTATTTTCTGGTTAATTTAGTTGATAATGATTATCCTCAAGGTTCTTGTCTTTGGCAAGTATTAGATTCTATGTTTGAATATCAAAAATTATCAAACAAACATGTTGACTCTTGATAGTATTAATGTTTTCTTTTTTCTTTTTCTCATTGATTTTCAATTCTATTTTTCTTTTTGTTTTCTTGTTTTGTTTTGTTTTCAATTAAGTTTGATTTGTAGAACCAAAGAAAACATGTTATTAAATGTTAAAAGATTCTAAATCTATACTTGAACTGATACGAGAAATTTTCGCAATGAAACCGAAGAATTATTTGTTCTCTTGTGCTGTCAACGTCAGGAATGTAGCCAGAATTAATTTGTGCAATTTCAATTGAAAATAGTTTATACACAAGTTAATAATTGATTAATTTTTCCAGAAAATTTTATGTCTAAGTTATAAACTATTCATGTTATTATTATACGTTTTTGATAAAATCATTTTTGTTTGGCAGAAGGAAAACGATAACCTTTCAGTATATGCCATAATATGTGCCATTTGCAGTAAATAGAAATACATAACAAGACAAAATATCTTCAATGTTAAAACCATTTTTCTTTGACACTAAACACTCGCCATCAGTCATATTCATTTCGATGTCTAAATAAAGAAACATTAAAAATATAATTTATGTTTTATGATAAACAAAAAGTGACCTTATTGGTTTGTTTCAATAATATAGAACTGCTATATCATGATCTTTCTTAATGAGAAGACAATAACATAATTAATTAAATCTTGTTTTAACTCATGAAAAATTATTTTCTAATTAGGACAAAAGAACAATTACTCATTCAGTTATTGGAATTACTTTTGTGGTTCTTTTACATAAGACACTTTTTATTGAAAGGAAAAATTTAATTTTGCATGAAAATATAAAACGAAAACAATAGCATAATAATATCATGCTCAAATTATAAGGATATAAGATTTCAGTAACTATGTTCATGACTCAATTTATACCATAAGAAGTTACATGTATAAAATAACCTTATAAAATTAAGTTTATCGTAACTTCTAAAACTTCATACTATAGGATATACTTTTAATTTAATATAGATCTGTTTTACAAACATGTATAAATAAGATTATGAATAGATTATAGACTTTGACCGAAAAGCTAGCACTTATTCAACAGGTAAGGATCTCAAGTGTGAAATACCTACAAACATTTGCTAAGAATGCTAAAATGTCGACGGTGCCTGAAACTCTAGTGAATGTATTGAACTCAGAGTATGCTTCTATCAATACGTCACAGGAAGTTTTATGTACTTTATGTTCGTTTAACACTCAACTACAAATTGCTTTTAAATATTTAATCTACTTACTTGTTGAAAATATTTTCATACAATGCTATAGAAACTAGGCACGTACTTAATAAGTGCTTATATACTGAAACAATTCTTAGAAGGATACTTGAAAAAATACCCTGTAAACAAGTAGCTCAGAACACGGGTACTTAGAGCTTCATACCTTCAATACGATAATCGCATATGCACAGTGTTTAAATGATTACGTAGGATCCTTATTATACAGTTTATATGTCAATGCGTTATGAGTTTTAGTTCGTCTTAAAAAAAAAACGAATGCGTCATGTACTATAATTCTAGTGCTTTATAGAATGAAGTTTTCTTCTAAATAAAAACAAGGTAAATAATATGTAAAAATCTATCTGTTATTTTTTGAAAAGTCGAGTTATAGTTTTTTTGTATCAATTATGATCAATGGTGACATCTACTACTAAACTTTCATTGAGAAAATGAAACAAAAACGATCGATCTTTCTTTGAGTTTTTTCTTCATAATAACTTTATGATAATTATTCTTTGGTTGTTTTATTTCATAGTTAATAAATAGCTTTTTTTTTAATTTCAAATAGAGAGAAGAATATAACTATTGATATTTTCAAGTGAATAAAAATTGAAATTTATATAAAATTTTCTTATGAATGAATTATGAAATAATCCTATTCTGTAATAATTGATTAAAACGATTCCTCTTTTTTTGTCGTGTTTTATTAATACTATATAAACTAGTTCTTTTTTAATCGATTAGAAATCGAACGTAACAAACAATGGCACACAATCAAAGTTTGATAAAAAAAATATAGTGATGAGTATCGAATTGATCCTGATTCATGGTCATCTTAGACATTTTTCAATGACTAGACAACCAGAAAGTAGTGCTTCTGTCTCAATACATTATTTGAATCAGGATCACGGCTCGTCGAGTTCTGTTCTTGATTCTTTGCATATGTATATTGTATGTTGTTTGATATTGTGCAAGATCATTGCGTAATCTGAACCATCAAATACAAGAAAAGGTGAATACGAGAACTAAATGTTAGCAACGTTACCCATCCCTATGTTACAGGGTAAGGTAAAGGTGAAAAATTCAGTTAGGTAAAGCAAAACACATCAACTATGAAGACAAAAACGAAACGTTTTTTAAAAATATTTTATTCATTAGCTATCAATAATGGTTTTTATTTTATTCTTTTCTTTTTTTTCTATTTTATTCTAATCCCGAAGAGAAAGAAAAACGATAAAATTTATCTGAGTTATTTTTTTTTTGTTTTTATTATTTTTAGCCATTAACTGTATATAGTTTGATTTCGACACTGTGTTCGACAAAGAATCATACAAAAAAAAGCAGAAGAAAGAATATTTTTTTCCTCGTTCTTCGCTCTTTTTTTTTTTTTTTTTCTTTCTTTCATTTCCCCTTTTTTTTCCACAACAACGACCAAACGGCTGTATGCAACATCAACATGTCATGAGATAGAGAACGTGCTGTATGTCAACAACATCATCGAACGCCGGCAGTGCTTCATCGTCGACATTCTCACCGTTCTCCTTAACACGCGGCTACGACGTACTACCACCACCACCACCATCATCATCATCGTCGTCTTCGTTTTTCTTTTCTTCTTCTTTTTTTCTTCTTCTTCTGACTATATTGACGATCAATCTTCTACGAGTGAAAAAGAACAAGAAGAAAGCGTTTGGTTGCCACCGCTTCACAACTAGCATCACTATTCCCCTCACCTCTATTCTCCGGGTTTTTTTTTCCTCGCGTGCCAATGTGTCAGACACATGCTTGTATAGTAACTGTTCTACACAAACGGCATTAGTCGATCTTTATTCTTTATCAGCAAATTTCTATTATCAATCGTCAAAATCTTTTTTCTGTTTCTTTTTCTTTTTTTGTTCTATGAACAGTATTTTAAATTGAATATTTATCAAAAAAATTATATTTAATATTTCAAAATATGTCAAATACAACAACAACAACAACGACAGCAACAACAAATATGAATGGAAGTGATCATGTTCATTTACCATATGCTCGTCTTGAATCCACACATTTTGGAATCTATGATGTTTGGCAAGAAAAAACAACTGTTGGAAAAAAAACTAATCGACATGAAGTTGATGTTAATATGGGTATTGAAAATTTTGTTTAAATAAATAAATAAATAAAAACTTAATGAATTTATTTTTTTTTTTTTTAGGTTCAACATCTGTTGTTTCTCGTATACATTTTGAATTAATACTTATTAATGGTAGTGATTTTCAATTACGATGTCGTAGTAAAAATGGTATTTTTATCAATAATAATTATTCAAAAACGTCTTCAATAACAATTTTACCTAAACAGTATGATTATTAATTTATTTTATTTAAAAAATATTTTATTTAATAGATGTACACTTCGTTTTCCAAGTACTGATATGTGTATTTCATTTTCATCATTAATCAATAATAATAATAATAATAATAATAATAATAATAATACAATAAATCGAACATCACCTGGAAGTGTTTCACGTCATGTATCAACAGAAACATTACAACAACAACGTTCATCATCATCATCATCATCATCAGTTCCAATTGATACAAATAATTCATCAACAACATCTTCATTACTTCTTCAATCTGTTCCAAATATTACACAACAACAACAACAAGTTATTCTTGTTGCAGTTAATCAACATCCACATCGAACAGTTATTCAAGCTAATCATAATAATAATGTTAATCATGAATTAAATAATAGTCTTTTACCAATAAATCTTAATATACCAAATTCATCGTCATCAATTAATTCAATATCAACTACTCGCAATAATGGACAAATTAAAATACAATATGAAAATCCAACTATGATGAATATAACATCAAATACTTCTATATTAAAGTAAAATTTTCTTAGTTTTACAAAAAATTATTGGAAAGACATTCATGTAAAAATATATTTGTTTTTTTTTTGTTTTTCTTACAATGTTAGTTCTACAATTTCATCATGTTCAACAAGTCCAAAAATTCCTAACAGTGATATAAGTGAAAATCAGACATTAGTTAGGTAAAGAAAAACAAAATCTCAAAATAATGCAATTAATTAATATTAAAATGTTCTTTTTTTTTTTAAATTTTAGTTCTCCAATAATTCAACGACTTCCATCATGTGGAATCGATAATAATCAACAAGATCATGATAATATTAATTCAAAAAATAGTACAAAACCACCATTTTCCTATGCTCAATTAATTGTTCAAGCTATTTTATCAGCACCTGATAAACAAATGACTTTAAGTCAAATCTATAATTTTATATCAGCACAATATCCATATTATGAAGCAAATAATCGTGGTTGGCAAGTAAGTTTTTATTTAAGAAAAAACACAAACAAAAGAAATTTTGTTTCTTTTTAATCTGATTAGAATTCAATTCGACATAATCTTAGTTTAAATCGTTATTTTATTCGACTTGCTCGTAAAGAAAATGATACTGGTAAAGGAAGTTTTTGGCGTTTAGATGAAACATGTGAAGAAAAATTAATTGATCATGCATTTCGTCATCGAAAACAACGTCGAAATTCTATATCATTTAATTCATCTCATAATGATACTAATTTAAATAAATCTGATGATGGACATTCACCAACAACTCAATATCAAAATGATCAAACAGATTTTTTATTAGCTGATATTCAAACAAGTAATCCATCAACACCATTATCACCAATGACAAGTCCATTGGTTGGACCAATTATTGAAGCTATATCACCTATTAGACAAACAGAAGATAATAAACGAAAACGTGATGATGACGATGATAATTTACAGTAGGTCTTTTAAATATTTCCTTTTTTTTTTTTGTTTTGATTTATTTTATTTTATTTTATAGAGATGAACAACAAATAGAAGATTTATTACATAGTCTTACTGCATCGATTGATGAAACTGTTAAACGGCAAAAAACATAATTTTTATTATTTATCTTTGTTCATAATTGTATTTTTTTATTTTCTATGGAAAAGAAATTCAAGAAACAAAATAATAAAATGTTTTAGATTTTTGTTTTCGGTTCTTTTTTTGTATGTGTGTATGAAATTGATGTGCATACGTATGCTGTTATCAATGAATTATTGACTTTTGTGTTTTGTTTTCTTTCTTTTTATAAACATGAAATTATTTAATTAGATAAGATTTATGAATTAGGTTTGTGGAGAAGTAGAACAAAAGAATTTAAACTTGCATGTGTCTAATTAGAAACTATATAACGAGTCAGTCATTTTGATTAGAAGTTTTTTTTTTCTTTTTGTATAAAAAAAGAAAATAATTATTATTTCAAAATATTATCTTGAAATTATAAGATACGATTAAATATAAACCGGCATTCATATTTTTTCATTTGGAATGGTACTTTTTTACGGCTGTGTAAAACTTGAGTCAAATGTTATATAGTCATAACTCATGTATTCTAAAAATGGATGTGAAAATTATTGAGAGATGTAACACCAGATCTTGATATGTTAAATAATACTTAGATTACAATTATTGAAGAAACAAAATACACAAAAATTTTCGACATGAGCAACATGGTCTCGATCTCGCCAGAACCAAGACGAAACTTTTTTTGCTTGATCTCGACCGAGGTCAAATGTTTTTCCGGCCAGAATCTGGACAAAGAAAGATTTGTTCTATTCATCACTAACGAGGAAACCTTTTCAGATGACACCCTCCGTTTTGATTTGTTCGTATCTCATTTAATCGAGTATATTGAGGTTGCAAAAAGCCTAAAGGGATTTTCCCCCAATGTTCTTCCTTCAAAAGCTATGGTCGTTTTATTGAATTTTCGACCCATTTCCAGGCATTTACGAAAAAATCAAAATAGGAAATTTCGACTTGATATTTCGCCCATAGATAGGTCTAATGGTCCTTAGAATATCCTGAAAGTTTCAGCTAAAAATAATGTTCCTTTCTTGAGATATTGAATTTTCAAAAAATAGTCGCCTGCCACAGATTGGTCACAAAAACCGAGTTCACTTGAAAATTCAATATCTCAAGAAAGGAACATTCTTTTTAGCTGAAAATTTCAGGATATTCTAAGGACCATTAGGCCTATCTATGAGCGAAATATCAAGTCGAAATTCCCTATTTTGATTTTTTCGTAAATACCTGGGAATGGGTCGAAAATTCAATAAAACGACCATAAGTTTTGAAGGAAGAACATTGGGGAAAAATCTCTTTAGGCTTTTTACTACCTCAATATACTCGATTAAATGAGATACGAACGAATCGAAACGGAGGGTGTCATCTGAAAAGGTTCCCTCGTAAGTACAATCGTAAAACATATAAAAAAAAAAAAGGCATGTCTTTGTCTTTTTACGAATGGAAGAAAACTAAGAAACGCTTATTATCGTTGGTTTTGTTTTAAGAGTTAATAATCATGATAGAAAATATTACAGATGTTTATCTTGAAACAAAAAAAAAATGAGAGTTTGCCGAATAAATTTACGATATAAATAAATAAAATGAATGTTCTTTTTAGTAACAGATCTTTTTTAATCACTAGAAAGACTCTTATGCAACCAGTAGTGTTAGACTAAGAACAACATTGGCAAAGGCTGATGATCAACCATATCTTTATCTTGATTAAAAATGTACGGGATCAAGTTCTTTTTGGTCCCAACATCAGTCTACAGAAATATTTCAGAATTCATTCATATCAAATCTAAAATAATTCTTCAATATTCGTTTTTTATCTATTTTATTTAGTCGATGACTACGTAGTACTTTTTTGGATCATCTTTCGTGAATTATGATCTAATGTATATTATTTATCAAATATATTTTATTGAAAACCATAGAATATTTTACTATAAATCTGAGTTTCATTCCTGGTGAATGAAACTGATCTTGTATATCTCTAATCTTGACAAATAATGAATTATCGTATTCTACAGCATCAAAGCCTCTCTCAAATCGGAAGAGGAACTTTGCGGCGTAATATACAACTCAAGTATATTAAACCTTAGTTTGAATCAGGAAATTCAATATGTAAAACTCGAAATAGTCGCTGAATGATGTGCGTTTTGCGTTTAGTATACTTAATAAAACAAATCTATTAAGAAACATTATATATTTAAACAGATAAAAATTGTTTGATTTTCTAGTTTTGCTGGATTAATATTTATTGATATGAAATAAAATATTTCGAATAATATGTTCACAGTTTCCAATAGAAAAAAAAAAGTGTTTATCAATATGATACCCATTATCTATCACAAATAGGACACAATCAAGGAGTTGTAGTCTTAGTAGTTATGTATGTTACACTAATTGATGATGTTCTTGTAGAAGTATTATTTGTAACTGTATTTGCAATCAGTAAACTTCCATAATTTGTGCTTGTACTTGTAATAGAAGGTCTAGTTGTTGTTGTATAAGTTGAATAATTAACAAAGTAAACAATACTTGTTTGGTCAATGACAATAACAGGATTAGTATTTGATGCAGAAATAAATACTTGACAAGTATCATTGTTAGTATAACAATTGGCATAACAACATAACGTTGATGATGATGATGATAAATTGAATTGAATACATTGACAAATACATGTTGAACAATTTGATTTCCAATTAGATGTTGAATTTACAACACGTCCTTTTAGAATTTGATTTATTTTTATACCATTTAATAATAATAAATAATTGAACATTATGATTAAATTATAAGTCCAAATAGACATGACTTCAAGTGATGCAAAAAAAAATCAAAAACTCACTTATATTCAAAGAAAATGTTCCACATAAACAATTTATTATTAAATAGAAAATGAAAAGAAAAAAAATTCAGGTTAATTGCTCTCTGATACTATTCAGCATACTTTTAGAGAGAGAAAAAAAAAACGACGGAAATGATGTTTTTATACGGACTCGGTTACGTGATCTATTACATGAGCTTTTGTCAGAACTGTTTTGAATATTTCTATTTAAGTTCAAATCATTACAGTCATGCGATTAATTCAATGCAAATGTCATCCTATGCAACGTTAAAAACAGTGAAAAAAAAATGATCACTGTCAGCTAGCAGAAAAACAATTGGTAAAAATGGAATACTGTGAATTTAGTGCACTAATACACTATTCAAGAAGCTTTTTCTGACGGTCAGAATATTTTTTGTCTGGAATCTCTTCGATGAACATGTTCTGAAATGAAAATTTAATTTATATGACTTGTTTTTGACATGTATTTATAAACAAATCAACATGAAAAGAAAAAGAAATATTTGCTATAATAAAATTCTAAGTTTAATATGATCTCGTAGGAAAGATTTTACAGACAACAGTTAATTCAATTTTTGTAAACTCGTTAAAAATATTCTTCTAAGGCAGCAGCTGACTTAATTTTTATGAATGATTTCAAATACACTAGCAAAAAAATACTTAATTATAACTGAGTGTCAATGCGTCCGTGTTTACTGCAGCACGTGGCAACTTCTTTTTACAGTTCATCGCAATATGGTAGTGACAAATTTATAAGTGTGTTAGACATCTCTGTTACCATTTCACAAACAGTCGTTTATTAAATCTACGTAAAAACCTCGAAATTATTATGCAAACGTTTTCTTTTTCTCTCTCATATCGTTTTATTTATACGTAAATCGAGCTTAAAATTCCATATTAATTGATGTTACAAAAAAGACTTTTATATTTCGACATATTTATTGACAAGATAGAAGAATTCAAATTTTATTTTTTCACTTTGTGGAGAAGTACAGAGTCATTTGATAATTCTTTTTTGTTTATTTTCCCATTATTTTGTTCATCAGTGTGACACAAATGTAAGTAATAAATGGCTTGACACTGAAGAATATTTTCTTTCAAGTGATAAAAAAATTAATAAAATTTATTCCAGAAAACTTCTATTAATATGACATTGCGATCGAAATTTTATACGATAAATTTTGCATTATATATTATGGTTTGTATTCACATTGTATCATAAAATTCATGATCACAATGATTCTTCTTTATATTCATATGAAAAGAATAATTAACTAATGAGACATTTGTCTTAATATATTTCTAGAAATTAAATCATATCAAAAAGTTACTCGTAGATAAATATGTCAACACACTTTTTTACTTTAGTTTGAATATAATAACAATTTTTATACTAGAGAAATATTTGTTGTTCGTGTTTTGAATGAAACATGTATATCGTAACGTAGGTTTGATGATCTTGATTTAGATTAACATCATGATTATTATTAGATACTTTTCAGTAAGAGAGAAATGTGTGGATGAAATTATAGGATAATATCAATAGATATAATTCTAGCGTTTTTTCTGGAGATATATCATTTTCCAACTTGACTTGTAATTATCCAATAGTGATATACGTCGATAAACTTTTTTTTCTCTGAAATATATTCTTGAACTTGAGATGTGACATCAAAATATTCAATTACATCTTCTGCATATGTTTTTAAAGATTTAGAACATTGCGTGAAATCAGCAAGACTTAATAAAACTTTTATTGTCATCAAAAATCAAATAAGGTACGAAATTTTGTTTCCTACTGTTACATCCGTTATGAAATGATGTGTAAAAGAAAATAATTGACATTGTTAAAACATACTCTCTTTTCATAGAAATAGCAAGTATCTATACCAGATGTTTGATGGAATATACTAAGATAGAACATAGTACAGTTAGACAATATATCAGTTATTACATAAAAACAAGAAAACTATATAGTAAAGAAGAAATTAAAGAAAAAAAAATCGACAAAATATCTAACAGAAAACACAACGGACAATGAAGCCATATGGATAATATCTTTGACACAGTTTTTACTTTCTAAAACGTATATCTCAATAATTACCATAACATTAGACTTTTTTGGCAGTAAGTTAAGCTTCATGATTAATATTCTATTTCATATTGTAATCAATTATTTAGTTTATTCAAATTGTGATCTTGAAAGTTTTGTGTAAGTCCTTGTCGTAACATTTATTTTTCACTTTATTACAATTCAATTTGAAAAAGTACCGAAATCAACATTAAATCTTTTAATCTAGAGTAAATAAATTTTAATCTATGTACCTCTGATTAACTATTGTGTGTCGCCATGTACATACATCTACTAAGGATGAAAACATGAAATCTTAACGAGTAGGAGGCAGATACAAAAAAGTTGAGAGAATTAAAGATACGCAGTGACAATAAAGAAAGTCAGGAATGATGAAAGAAACAAGAATAATGAATAACTCTATATGAAAGTATAATAATTAGGACACATGGAAATATCAATGACGTCATTTCTCTCACATTCTATTTTCACTAAAGTTGAATGAAGAAAGCAAATATAAATACCAAGTTTGTTGATCAATGCAGATATACTTAAAAAAAAAAGAGATTCGATAGAATTTTACTTATAAGATTATTCAATTATTGACTATTCTATAAAAATTATTTGATAATAACTTTAATCAATTTTATTTTTTCAAAATTTACAATTAATAAACATTTTTTTTCAAGGTATATAACCTATGTTCTATTTTTAATTTTGAAAAATATTTTATTATTAATTTCGATTCTTTGAAATTATATTAATTAGGAGGATACAATACAATATATGACGTTTTCTTTTTTCCTTTCAATAAATACTTGTTTTGTGGAGAATAAATGATATTCTATCAGTTTCCTTTTCTTGACATACGATTCTTTCAAGATCATGTTACTTATACGATTTTTTCGAAATATGATATGAGATCTTGTAGGAAGTGTATGCCAAGAATTGATCTAAGTTTTACAGAGATCGCAATTTATTGTATGTTTTCATCTGATTCTTAAAAAAATTATACAAGATAAGACGTGCATCATGAAAGATCTGTTTGTTTGATCTGAGTTTTTTATACCACGTATTTTTGATATGATATGCAAATATAATTAAGTATGATATATATATATATATATTGTGAACAGTTTTTGGCAGAATATAGCTTATATTTCACTACTTTCCGCTGTAGACTTGTTGCACTAAATCAAAACTACTAAACATGATATCATTTAGCCTGACATATCATTGACCGTACACATTTCATAGAAGCATATATGTAAATGTTATTAATTCTAAAAGCGAGAAAAAAACTCGTCAAAATACTGTGAAAAATACTTTTTTTCTTCGTAATCGAAGGCTGTACAACATTCAACCCCTTAAAAACAGGAAGGAAAATTGTTTCATTCATATCAGAAATATTACATATCTTGCAAAGTTCAGAAGAACTTGTTTCTTAAAAAAAAAAACAGCAGCTGTTATGTAAATCCAATTCAAACAGAGGAAATGAAATATTAACAAACCAGAAGTCGTTCACTAACTTTTCTCTTGACCTGTAAAAGTCAAAAATTTGTTAACACACTGCAATCATATTATTTATTTAGCCTAAGGTAAAATTTGAGAGAAAAAAAAATTTTGTCAAAAGGAATGAAAAATACTTAGGTCAAATCCTTTAGTCATGTCTCTCTTGTCACATAAAAGTTAAAAATATTGTAAATAGACATCAATCATATTACTAACTTAGCCTAAGGGAAACTATTCAGAGAAATAGAATTATTTTTCAAAAAGAATGAAAAAAATACGTTGAGAAATCTTTTATGCGTTTCTATCTTCACAAGCAAAAGTAAAAAACTCGTAAGCAGATAACACTCGTATTAGTTATTCATCCTAAGAACATGACAGGTCTTTGAATTGAAATCTACGCATAAGAACGTCGAATGATAGGTATAAGTTTATATTATTTCTTTCTATTTCTTCTTGGTTTGTTTGACTTCATGTAGGAAATGTAGCATTTTTCTGTCAACGGGAACAACTTCGTCTGTTGACATCACCAGATGCGCAGCTGTATATTGTAAAGTTCACAGCTATTTTTGTATGAAATGTATGATCAACTTTTACCGTCACCATATATCTATATACTTTTTCCTTCCCATCTGGTCACACTCAAAATAGTTCTT